ATCGCGGCGAGAGCCAGAGACGTCGATCAGGGTTTCCTCCAAGACCTTCCTCCTCCCCCGCCCTTACATCCGACGCACACACTCCCGTTCATCTGTCCTAGACGGTCTAGTGATCCTAGTAACCATACACCGTGCCAGACTCCTCGGATCGGCACAGTCTATCTCACTCAGGAAGACTCTCCAGGACCTCGTCCTGAAGCTGAGCCCATCGATCTCAGGGCGTGGTGCCTGCAGGAGTTCCTCATGTCCCCTCGTACGCTCATCTTTTCCTCCAAGACGATCGTTTTCGGGTGTCAAACCACGAAGATGAACGTCGGTGGGGCGTTTCACGAGGGCTTCTTCGATCCAAATCGACTACCCGACAAGCTCTTCTTGCCCAAGTTCGTGCCCGCTCCGAGATCGCGCGAGTGGAAGGCCATATGGGAGAATTGGTGGCAAGTCGTGGGGCACTATGGCTGGCGCAGCACGTCCTTCCCCTCGGACCGGCTCGTCGCGTGCGGAGGCCTGGCGGAGGAGTTTCAGCGGGCTCTGAACTCGGACTATCTCGCAGGCTTATGGCGCGAGACGCTCCTCCGCGACCTGCTCTGGTTCAAGAACCGAGAGAGCGTGAGCCTCCCGCGCCCGGCGGTGTATCGCGCGCCGTCGTGGTCCTGGGCGGCCGTGGATGTTGGGCAGATCACTCTTTTCCAGGGTATCTTGTGCGACCCGTGGGAAGGAATCAAAGAATTGGCGGAGGTTGTCAGCTGCACGGTTGAGCTCAAAGACGCGGGGATGTCGTTCGGTGAAGTGGTGGGCGGGTCGCTCGTCCTCCGGGTACTCGGGCTTCTCCCTTGCACCTGGCAAACCCACGAGGACCGCAGGTCTGACCTCATGGATCAACATCCTCCTGAATCCCTCGGTGTTTCGAATGCTGGCCCGGGAGGACTTGGGAGACACGTCCATCCTACTACGGGACAGCCCCAACGCTACGTCGGATACGGGGAGCTCGACAGCGAGGAGGACGCCGATGTCTCTCCGTTTTGGGCTGTCCCCCTCCTTCCTACGAAGGATGGATTCTACTGGGGCCTCCTTCTCGCCCGCGCTGCTCCAGAGCGGGCCAGCGGTTACTCCGAGCCCGAACGCGGAATGCAAGTCTATCGCAGAGTCGGAGCAGGCTCCATCGCACCACCGTTGATAGAGGATTTAGGATGGGACAAAGGTTGTTCGCCCTCGATGGAGATCGTCATCATATGAGGAGGATGTCGGGGTCGCCGAATGTGGTATGTGCTGGCCCCGAACCTACCTTTGATATTGGTGTAAATTCGCTATCGTGAGCGCAAAATGTATATACATGATATATGCCTACATGGGCAGAGGTGTAGTGTCAAACACGCCCCCGCGTTCGCGAGCGCGTTGTGCGCGCACGCTATCAAGGTGGATCAACCTCTTTTCTTCTTCTGCTTATTCTTCTTCTTCGACCGCTGGCTACTTTTCAAGGGCGTGTTCGAACCGCTCGACGCCGCATTCACGTCCCCACCTACGGCCTTGAGCGAGCGCTTCTTCTGCACCCGCATCAGCGCCCGCTTCGTCTCCCCGTCCGGGAACGTCGACAGATCGTAGTAGTTCGCCGCATACTCCAACAACCTATGAAATCCACAGCGTCAATACATTTGCCTCAGTCCCAGTCTCGGCCAGATAGACACGTACCACTCCGGCCGAACCTCAGTCACCGTCCTGATGTACGGCTTCGTCGTCAACACGAACTCGTTGAACAGCACCCATTCCGGGCTCGTATCCAGCCCGCAGCTCGGGTGGAGCGACACGACCTGGTTGTCCTTCACGGTAATGTACGCGCTCTTGTCGCCCTCCTTGTGAGCGACCTGCATGAAGAAGCCGCAGACGAGGGCCTTCCGGATGCTCGTCCACAGCTTCCGCTCGTCTGCGGTGGTCACCAGGTCGATCTCGTACCGCTCCATCGTGCGCTGGAGCTGTGTGCGGACGTTCTCCGCTTGTTGGAGGGCTCTGCCCGAGAGGTAGTTGTTCCAACACCAGTTTCGGTCATGCTTGTCTATATGGGCCGTCAATACTTCTGCGAAACATTCCGGGGAATCCATGAACGCACTGTTGACGTAGTGGTTGTATACGTTCATCAACGTGAGATGGTCACCGTCCGGTACGGTCAAAAGCGCCTTGGCGGCATCCGCCTCCTTGCGCTGGTTTGGTGGTCTCAGCCACACGTTCGGCACTGCGCGGATACCGTCAGCCATTGTTTGCACAGGTAGGACGTGGGCCGGGACTTACCAGACAGCATGGCCACGATAGTCAGGATCTCGTTACTGCAGTTGAACTCCGGGCTGACGATCAACATCTTCGCCATCTGTCACAGGCCATATGTGAGTACAGTTCAGATGATATGTTCAACAAAGAACACGAACCTGGGGGTCGAGCGGGAAGTCGGCCATCATAGCTCCCAGAGGCGTCAGTTGGCCATCATCATCCAGCGCCGCGAGGTAGTTTAGCAGCTCCAGCGCACGCAACAGCGTCTCCGGCGCGGGTGCATCGACATAGTCAAAGTGCACGAGATCATGGATGCCCAGCTTCGCGAGCTCCAGCACCGCGTTCGCCAGGTTACTTGTCAGAATCTCAGGGTGCGTCTGCTCCTCGAGCTCCGTCATAAAGTCCTTCTCCGTGTACAACCGGAAGCATTTGCCCGGCCGCGTACGACCGGCACGACCGGCACGCTGCTGGGCGGACGCCTTCGAGATGGGCGAGACGAGCAGGGACTCGACACGTATACACGGGTTGTACACCTTCTGCTTCGAGAATCCGGGGTCGACCACGTAGACGATGCCGTCGATGGTGAGTGACGTCTCGGCGATGTTCGTCGAAACGACGACCTTGCGCCCCGGTGGGCAGCCGGGCACGCGCGGAGGCGGCGCAGGGTCGAAGATCCGCTGCTGCCGTTGTGGAGGGAGGGAGGAGTAGAGGGGAATACAGACCAGGGGGCCGACGCTATCGGGATCTTGGTTCAGGAGATCATCCGCCTCGAGCTTGATCTTTCGGCACGCGTCTTCGATCTCCTCCTCACCGGTCAAGAACAGCAGGATGTCTCCCGGATCTTCTGCACGGTGAATTATGAGCACTGTCCTGATTGCTGCTTCGACGTAGTCAGGCTCCGGCTCTTGGGTGTAGAACACCTCGACGGGATGTGCCCGACCAGGCACCTTGAAGAGCGGTGCAGGGTTGTCGCCGCCGGTAAGACTGAAGTACTGCTGAAACTTCTTCGCATCGAGCGTGGCGGACATGACGACGATCTTGAGGTCCGATCGCCGTTTGGCAATGTCCTTGAGGAGGCCCATGAGGATATCAGTGGCGAGGGTGCGCTCGTGGGCCTCGTCGAGGATGATAGTAGAGTATCTGCTGAGCTCGTGGTCGTTCATGGCTTCTCGGAGAAGCATTTCGTCGGTCATGTACTTCATGAAGGTCGTTCCGGGTTCTGTCATATCCTCGAAACGGATGGAGTAACCGACTTGCTCCCCAAGGGGCACTGCAAGGGGAGCGTTAGTCTGGGTGTCATAAGGGATTTGCAGAGCTTCTGAGATCGCAGCCTTGCCCGCGTTCACAAAACTGATGCACACTGGGGAAGAGACACCAAGTAGGCCACGCGACGCTTATAAGTTGACAACAACATATCGTCCCTCCAGTAGAACGCACGTCGAGATGACATCTTCAACCCTGAGTGCCAATGTTCCGTTCCATTGCAGACATGTGATATGAACCTACCGGTCTCCTGGTACGGAGCCTACCATAGACTGCCTCACGTCGATGGTGTTCATAGGCACGCCTTGATGTGCGGGGAGAACGTGCGTCCCTCCGCCAGATGACACGACGGGCGGTGGGATGCAACGGCAAGGCTGTGATCAGAAAGCGAATCAGGTCAACGTACCGTCTAATTCGTCTGCCACATGCTTCGCGACAGACGTGGCGGTGACTCGTCGTGGTTGTGTACAAGCGACCATCTTGCCCTTGGTATGCGGGAGGTCTGAGTAGCACACGAACTGGGGTATCCTGCACGGAAAAATTCATGCTTAACGATACTGGAGAGAAGGGAGATGCACATGTGATGTTTCCGTACTGTGTAGTCTTGCCCGAACCTGTTTCGCTAACCATGACGATGATCTGGTTTTGGCTGAACTTTTTGCGTGTGGGATATCAGCATGCGGTTCAGGGCTGTGCGGGGGCACAGGATGTTTGAAAGGTACTCTGACCCCTCCGGGCATGGAACTAGGGAAAGGAAAACACTCACCATCTTGAGGAACTCGTCCATCTGGGAGAATACGGGGAGCTTCTTGCGGTCCTTAAGAATCTTCTTGTACTGTGCCGAGTGAGGCTTTTTCGTGAACGGGTTTACATCACCCTCCTGCGGCGGCGTCAAATTGCAAAGCGTATGAGCTGGGGAAGCAGCTCACCATAGCCTTGAGGACCTGCCGGGAGGTGACTTTGCGTGGTAGGAAGCCATGGAGTGGGTCCTTTGTGCCAAGACTGGGAGCAGGCGATGTCGAGATGGGAGGCTTGCTCGTGTATGGATTGTACGCCATTTTGCCTAATGCCGATACAAGAATCACGGAAGGAGTGGTGAGAAAGGGGGATAGCCGGAGAAAGAGTGGTCAAGGAGCTGGCTTCAATGGCGTGACAGCAGGCCTCTCTCAACTTTCAGGTCCGGCTCACCGTCCGTAGATGCTTGAGTGGGTGCTAAAATCGGCCAGTGAGGTTGGCTAGCTAGTATGTGGAGATGGTGGGCCCTGTCACTGCAACAGAGGGGGGCTCGGTGCGTAGTTCGGATGTGGTGGTACAGTATGTCCTATATCCTGCTGTATGAACTGATGCTACTGGTGGCGTGCAAGTTCAAGTTCAAACCCGTAGGCTAAGCGAGAGTCGGGCTGTGGGTGCTCGTGGGTGCTGCGGTAGCCCCGTCAGATGGCTTTTGCGTGTATAAACGCCACCTTGAGTACAGTACACGCGGCCGGCTGGCCTAATGGTTAAGGCGTCAGTTTCCGGTGACCGCCCACCTGTTAGCTGAAGATTCTGGGTTCGACTCCCAGGTTGGTCGCTTTTTCGCCCCGCCGACGAGGCCGAGGGAGAAGGTGCCTGTTGCCATGGGTGGTTGGTCTGATCGCTCGTTCTGCGGCCCAAGTCGGGTATGGATTATGCAAGTGAACACAGAGCTCTGTGTGTCTTGAGGCACTCGCCGGCGGTTCGGTCAAGCTGGTGCATCTCCGCCATGTCACGACGACTTGCTGCTCGCCATGCGGGCCGCGGCAGTCTGGAGATGTGCATCCAAGGACCAACGGGTGATACACCTCTGATACTCTCCAGGCCCGAGCATCACTTAATTAAATCGCTTCCATCGCCACCGTTGCCATCTCCCCGCCGCCGACGTTCCCACCACCACCTTCTCATCGTCCTTGATGAGTTCCGAACAAGTAATTGATCTAAAGTCGGCCGCGCGGCCGTATCCTTCTCAAATCCTCCGTACGTACTACCTTACCATCTTCCCTAACACGCGTCCCAACGACCACTTACCGCCTTGTTCAAGCCCATTAATACACCACAGTACATAACGCGCTCCCGATCTAGTCGGTGGAGACAGCGCGCCCCGCCAGTCCCGCTGATGAACCAATGGCATGGTTTCAGTACGTCCGTCCGGTCCCAGAACAGCCACTGCTATCATAACGCTCTGCCCTACGGCCAATGGCGGAGCTGCTGCTCATCACCGAGATGTACACTTGTCGCCCTCTAGCCGACCCTGAGTAGCCGCTCTGTTCCTGAGGATACGGCATCCGACGAGTCCCCCGCCCCCGGTTCTCTCAGTCTCCCTCCTCGCGCCCGCTCTCGCCAGTGGTCTTCTTGGTTGTCGTCCACCTCCATGTTCTGACGCTGGACGTTGTCTTTCCCCCCTCCCGCCCGCCCCTGCACTCCCTCAGCTTTCTTGTTCTCTCTTTCTCCCTGGGAGCGTGCTGTCTTTCGCTCTGTTTTACCCTCGCCCGCGAATGCAATCACACCGATGGATTCTCTAGGGCGAATACTGGCGGCCTTTCTCTTCTTCCTACACCTCTTCGTCACTCGGTGCCAGGCGCAAAGCATCCATGGCTTCAACTGGGCCTTTCCTGTGAGTGGACCCTGCTGTTCAGCGGCGAGGGATCGTCGCATGGAAGTGCCCGCGAACTGAGCCGAGGCTCGTCTTGGTCGCAGTTCACCTCGTCAAATATACAGGAATGCCAGACCTCTTCCGTGCAAATCAAGCCGGCAAACTCCTCTTCGACGTTCCTCGGAGTCCCGCCGTACTTTATGCTCGCGCTCGAGCAGGGCGGCATCACCACCGTTTCGCCCATCGGGAACGTCGTCTCCCAGCTCAGCTGGCAGAACACCCATCGCAAGAGTGCGTAGCTTCTTTCCGCTTTCCGCGTACGCCTGGATTCGGGTTACGAGTACGCCTCCTGCACAGATGCCCAACTGCTCCTGACCGTCATGGACTCTGCCGGCAACACGGGCGGCTTCCCGACGTTCTTCTACAGCGTCATCGGTACGTGCCCGCGCGCGTCCTTGTTTTCCGGGGGTTTCCAGTGTCGTTGTCACACGTCGGAAGCTAATCGCTGTCTGGACGCGACAGGTGCGTCCGCCGGGGCCGACACATCCTGCCTCATCGCGCCTCCGAGCGTGTCGACGCCACGCATCACGCCAAACGTCACGACGGAGCTGCAGACGTGCGAGCCGTGGGGGCTGACGATCACCGGCGGGACGAAGCCGTACAACATTACACTCGCGCAGGTCGCCTCGGGCGTGATCACGAACGCGACGATGGGCCCGGAGGACGACGTGTTCACGTACGCGAACCGCGCGATTCCTGGGGCGCCGCTGATGGGTGAGCGCCGCTTTCGCAGTCGTCGCGCGGGAAGATCGTGTTGACGTTTTTTTTTGTGTGTGCACAGCCGCGGTTGTGGATGCGTCAGTGTTGCTGTTCGTGGGTGATCTGGTGTGGAGGCTGACGGAACGCGTTTTGTAGGAACGGTCAGTGGGGCGTATCTACCCTGCCTGTCAACACGGCTGGGAACCCGGATACGGATTGTCCTGGGGTGGTCACCACCTCGCAAACGAAGGCTCAGGTCGCGGCGCAGGAGGCGGCGGCGGCGGCAGCGGCGCAAGAGGCTAGCTCAAAGAACCGCGCGACCACCGTCGCCCTCGCGATCGTGTTTGGAGTTATCGTGCCCATACTGATTGTCGCTGGAGTCGGGTTCTGGTGGTGGCGGAGGCGGAGGAGGCTCGTCCAAGAGGGCAGGGTGCCGCACCAGGTCACGAAACCTTCGCCATACGACGCCGAACAGCAAGCCGGGCCAGGCAGACCAAGCCTGAACCTAGACATGTCGCAAGTACAAGGCGTGTTGCGCATCGACAGCCAGAGTCGCCGCTCAGCGACGTGGGCGGTCGACACGGACGGAGCCTCCCTCCGTCGCACGGACAGCCCGACGTCGATCGACATGTCGACGCAGGACCTCCGGAACAATATGACCGCGCCGACGCCCTACCTGACCTCCGCGACGCTCCCCCGCCCCGCGCCGACGCTGAAGAGTCCGCGGTCGCCGCCCGGGAACTCGGGGACGATGACGCCAAACTCGGCGTCGCCGGCGCGGACGCTCTCCGCCGAGGCCCGCTACCGCAAGGCGCTCGAGGCGCATGCGGGCGCGCAGGCCGCGCGGGCGAGGCTGCAGGCGCAGATGGGCTCGGCGAGCCCCGGGCAGAGTCCTGTCGCGGGCCCGTCGACGGCGCGGCCGTACGCGGTGTCGAGCCCGGCGTCGACGATCGCGCCGGCGGGGCTGCCGAGGGCGCGGCCGGCGGTGCATCGGTCGCAGTCGGCGGGGATGTTGCGGACGTTCCCTGCGCAGCCGGTGCCGCGGCGGGCGGGGGCGTCCTTGCGTTTGCCGCCTGTGGCGGCGATCGAGGAGGACGGGGACGGGAGTGTGGATGTGGATGTGGAGGGGCCGGATATTATCATTCAGCATCGGGACGGGGGCATTGTGGAGGAGCTGCCGCCGCCGTATTTGGCCAGCTACTCGCCTAGGGCGAGCGGCCAGGCGAGGAGGGTTGGGTCGGTGACGGACAACGTAGGAACGCGGTCGTCATAGCATAACATTGTGCAGAGGAGAGGAGTGAAATATTGGATGGGGGATGGAGGTTTGGGATACCTTTGGCTGTTTCTGACCTGCCGGGCTCAGGTTTCCGGGGTTTGTTGGCTTTGCACTTTGTTTCAGTTTCTACCCGCCGTCGGTTCGTCCGCGAAGTCCGCCTTCGCACTCCGTTTACGCTCCTTACTTCCTGCCATTCCATTCTGTACCTTACCGTCCTGTGTTGTATGAATAGGGATCCCACTAGTGCAAATATGGATGAGAAAACGCCCATAATGTTCACAATGTGAGCAGCGCGTGCTTGGGGTGTACTTGACTGATTAATACGGGTCAATGTACGAGGCCGGCTCTTCCGAGAAGCTTTACGTGACTTTGCCTTTAGGTTCTAGCTGAGTGTGCCGAGTCGACGGGGAACTTGGCGGAGAAACACGCGCCGAGGGTGTCCTCTTCGGACTATGTATGTTTTCCCCATAGGTGCTGCAGTGTCCCGCTATGAGTCGACGAACGCAGGATGAGGGAAGTCTCGCCCAGGCGAGACACGAGCTGGAGGAGGCCGCTGCTGATGCTGGGATGTATGTGTTGCCAGAAAAGGCGCCTTACATCAGCGATTTTGGCGGTGGGAGCGCGCGCGATGGGCCGTCGACCGTCTCCGCCGCACACTGGGCAGTCCTAACACTCTCCCTCTCTAGCCTCCAACTCTCTCTGGTCTGCAGCGCGCCCACGCCGACGCTGGCTGCTCTCCCACCCGTCTGTATCTAGCTGACCGGCAGCGCCGTCGCGCGTCCGCCCTCGGTCTGCAAGACGTCCGCGTCCCATCATGTCCACCGCTAGCCACACCCCCGCCCTCACCCCCTCCCGCTCCCCCACGCCCGAACTACCGCTCCAGCCAGACCACTTCTACGGAAACGAAGACATCCGCCTCCCTCCCTCCCCCAACTCCGACGGCAGAACATGGCTCGATCCCGCAGACGACCCCCTCGCACAGCGCGGCATCCCCGTCTTCAAGCCCACCATGGAAGAGTTTGCTGACTTTGAGGGCTACATGAACAGGGTCGAGCCCTGGGGCATGCGCAGCGGTATCGTCAAGGTCATTCCCCCAAAGGAATGGTCAGTCCCTCAGATCCTCATATCCTGTCCTCCCCGCGACTGATGTATGCGCCCATCGTCATTGTATGTATCTGTCTAGGACGGAAGCATTGCCATCTGTCGTACCCCAGCTCGACAAAGTCAAGCTCAAGAACCCAATAGAGCAGCACATGCTCGGCCAGGGCGGCCTCTTCCAGCAGCAGAACATTGAGAAGCGACGCGTGCTCAGCGTCCGTGAATGGGCGGAAATGTGCGCAAAGGAGGAGCTTCGCGCGCCGGGCGTAGACGAGATCGGCCTCCACGCGCGCGCCGCGAACGGAGCTACCAGGCGGCCTAGGAGAGGTCGCAAGCAGAGAGCATCCGAGACCGTCGAGCCTGAGCACCAGCACGATGAGTCCGCCGACGCGATCAAGCGCGAAGACGAGGAGATGGACGTAGAGACCGCTGCAAAGGCACTCATCTCTCCGCCCAACAGCAACCGCACGTTGTCGCCTGTAGACCACAACGACCAGCAACAGCCCCCTGAGCAGCACGCGTCAACATCAGCGGCAGGCGCGTCGGCTTCTGCGAACGATGCAGGCGCTCGCCATCCGCTAGCAGAAGAGGAGGAGGAGGAAGAGGAAGAGGAGGCGAAGCACGAGGAGGAGGAAGAGGTCAAGCCCAAACCAAAGGGTAGGCGCCCCGCGCGAACACGCGAGGACCGTGAAGCCATGATGGCCGAGCGCGCTGCCAAAGATCGCGAGTTCCTCCAAACCTTCGACCCTCACACCGCCTGGCTACCCCCGAAGACAAACCCTGAGAGCTACACCACCGAGTTCTGCAAGGAGCTTGAGCGGCGATACTG